TTTGAGAGAAAAGGTTTTGAACTAACTCCAACTTGCAAAAACTGGGTGGGAATAAGGATAAAGGAGTTCAAGAGTTAAAAAACAAATAACATGCCTGATGAAGCAATCTCTAGAGTGGGAATTAAGGATCCACCAGCAATAAAAGAAAAAAGAAAGTGAGCCCATGCCTCATTTCCACCTCTTTGTCCAGTTCTTCTTATTTGCAATTACCTGGGTGATTGTAAGCGTTACTAGGTGATTCTTCCTACAAGAGGGACATTCTGACACACATTTGTCCTGTGATTTCTCTGTGTAAACACATGCCAGAGCTCTCAGAAGCTCTGAGACTTCTAGTCAATCAAGACCTGGTTTCTTTTCTTTCCCTCCCTCCCCCAATCTACTTCAGCTTCCTACATTATACCCCACCCTGGATCCCCAGGCTCAGTCTGCTTCTTCCTGCTCTACATCCCCGCTCCTCTTCAGATTAGTATCTCGATTCTCCATGCCCATCAGTACCCTTGGCAAAATGAATGTTCTCCTCAAGCTTCTCAGTAGACAAGGATTTTGAGTGAAAATAGTGTCCAAATGCTCTCAGAGGTGTTTTAGTCCAATGTTACATGCCCTTCAAATCAGAGAAGTCGGCTACACTGGCACTATTTTAATGTCTTCTAGTTAATGTATTGAATTTGCTTAGAAACTTATTCTGAGCTTACTCTGTCTGAGGCACTGGGCTTGGTTCTGTCAGAATTCTTGTGGATTTGACAGATGTTCCCTGAGGAGGCACTTGAATGAATGTTTATAAGAAAGTAAGCTGAAAGCAAACCTGTTTACTCCTTTTTAGAACCAGAGGACAAAATTACAGCAGTTTAGAAATAATTTGTTAGCTCACCAACTAGCTACAAGGGTTTCAATGAGTCGTCTTTAAGCATGTGTCTAGAAAAATCTGCCCTGTCAATTAGACAAGTTGCAACTCATGCTTTATGCCAGATGTGGTAGTTTCATTAGATTATAGAGACTGACAATATTTTAGCAGTATTTATATTTTCTTGTTTCCTTGTTTGACCATAAATGTGGGCCAGTTGTTGAAAGAAGATTCTAGTAGTGTATTTTAAGAATGACTAGTCACTGGCGCTGGGAGGATATTATAGTGAGTAAGGCATTTGCCTTGCACACAACTGACCTGGGATTTAATCCCTGGCATTCCCTAGGGTCCCTGAGCACTGCCAGGAGTGATTCCTGAGCACAGAGCCAGGAGTACCTCCTGAGCATTGTTGGGTGTGGCCTCAGAACCAAAATAAATGAATAAATAGATAAATAATAGTTACTAGTCATCTCATTAAGTAAGTCTGAAATAAGAGCCATATAAATTCATGGTAAGCTAGAAATATGTGTTCTCTTATATTGAGGACTACTAACTTCAATTCCTTTAACAGTGATCTTAAGTACACATCTTAAGCCTCACTTCATATACAATTCTCTTTGTATGGAAACTGCTATAATGTGGGAGACTGTTGTTTGTGAATTTAACAGAGGGAGCCTTAGAAATTGCATGCTTGACTGTATTTGGTCTCTTGTTAATTTGGAGGGGTGATCATTTTGCAGTTATTTATCAAAAATTATAAATATATCCTCAGTTTTCTAAATACCCCAGGAATTCCTTGGTTCATGATGTTGTCAGTGGATATTCATTCATTCAACACATATGGATTGGGTATCTGGTGTGAACTCTGACCTATGACGGGTATTAGAAGTATAGAGAGAATGTCTCCTTCTGTTAGGGAACCCAAGGAGTGGCATCCACAGTAAACTGAGCCATGCAAGAACCCCTATGTGGAGATTATAGGACAGCCAGGTCTATAGCCAAGCCCACTGGTAAGGCTTAACAAAGGCAGAGGCTGTACTTGACATCAAAGGCGGGGAGACTTGGGGGGCGGAATGTTCAAAGAGCAGAGGAGGGGGTGTGGGTTGGAAAGCAAGATGATTCTGGAGACAGGTGGACAGGCCTGACCAGGAGTTCTAGTTTCCTGTGAGGTGCTGAAGGCAGTTGTGGGAGACCTGGATGGGGAGAAGGGTCGTGTTTTATATTTTTCTGTAAAAAAAAACCCTGGAGGTTCTGTGGATCATTGAGTGTGTGGGGCAGAAGGAAGAGTACAAAGTCAGTTCGTGGACAGATGAGAGGTGCCAGTCACTTGCAGCTGTGAGAGGTGTTGGAGATAGGTTGGAAGAAAATGATCCAGAAATTATTTGGATGGAGGTAGACCAGATGACCGTGAGGGTGGCACTGGGAAAGGGGTGAAAATTGTTTTCTCTCATTCATGTAAAAATCAGCCAACAGGGTGATAGTCACTTAGGGTCTCCAAATAACATTTTATTCTGTGCCCTGAGTTAAAAGTTATTACCCACATTCCTTATTATAGCAAAACAAAAGCTTTCCCTTAAGCAACTGCAATTTAAAGTCTGCTGCCTCTCAACGTTGGCTGCCTTGAATGCAAAGAAATTAACTTAGAAGATGGCAGTTAAACCAGACACATAATTTCAGCTAAAAGCATACAGAGGAGCGAGCATGACCTAAAGTATGCATGTTGCTGAGTCATTTTTTTTTCCTGTTGTGAGTTCAGGATATCTCTTACAACCCGTGCAGAGATGAAAATGGAGTCAGACCTGTAGTTTCAAAAACTAATTTTTAGACTTTAATGTCTTCTTAGCCTTCTAGGAGTTCCTTCATTAAGATAGGCAAATATTAGGTGTTGATCTCCTAAATTCCCCTTAAGCACAAAGGTGCGAGAACATGATTTATTTTTGCATTTGTAAAGTCATTCCAGGTGGCTCTGAGGCCCATTTAGCTGAGCTAACCACTTCCTTTAGAAACTAAAGGTGCCTCTGTCCTCTCCCAGTAAAGGTGGAACAGGAGGGGAAGAATCTTTAGAAGGGCTTTGGCTGCCCCATGGGGACCATAAGGTGGATAGAAGGGTGGATCCAACTCTTCCCCAAACTCCCTTTTCTATTGCGTCTTCCCCCCGCCAGCCAGATCATCACCTGGGCATTAGGCTTTAAAGTAAAATTTTTTGTTGGGATTAAGGGGATGGCTGGAATTGGGATGTAGCTTAGCAGTAGAACACTTGCTTTGAATGTGTGCAGGCCTGGGTTTGATGCCTAGAACTGAAGAAATGAAGAAAAAGGGCAGGGGGATTTATGGACTAAAGAGATAGCTCATTCGGTTGGAACTTCTGCTTTGCTTGCAGGAGATCTGAATTTGATCCCTGGCATTGCATGGTCTTTAGGGTACCAGTGGGAACAACCTCTGAGTCTTAAGAAAGGAGGCCCACTTGTTGTGGCCCCTAAGAGAACAATTCCAGGAGTGAGGCAGAAATATGGCTCATTAGTAGAGCACCTGATCCACATGGTCCTGTAAACACCTTTGGGAGTGGCCCCTGGCCAGTGACCCTGGAGTGACCCGCAAGCAACACTCGTAGCTGGGTGTGGACACAAAATAAAACAGAAAAAGGGTATAATCATATTTGTTTTGTTGAAGATTTTGAAGAGACTGGTGTAGGCCATAGCAGACTTCCTCACTTGGGTGGCTCCAGCTCATGGCGTTCTGTCCTCAGTCACTGAAAACTGAGCAGATGCAACCCACAACACAGCAGTTCAAACTTGCCTGCTCGGGCTTCTGCGCAGTTCTACCCCTCTGCCCCCCCAACACGTGAGCTAGAATCTCCCAGAAGGCTTTGCTTGATCCTGTTTATGACTCCTGGACCCAGCGAGTGTGGATTGTAAATTAGATCCATCCCATTTTCATCCTGACTGTTTCTTGCTGCTGGCCTCCTTCTGTTCCGAATGAACCTCCCTCCCCCCCCCCCCCCCCCCCAGCATGGCATTCAGGAAAATGCCTTTTCCTTAGAGATTCATCTTGCAGACAACGGATCCACCAGACAGCGGTGGGAGTCCCAGGGAATGCATGAGAAAAAGAAAGGGGGTGAGGGCTTGACTGTGGGCTTGACCCAGTGATGTGAAGATGGGAGATAGGAAGACAGATGTTTGTGTGGTTCACAGTTGTGTCACCCAAACCCTCTTTGTGGCTCTACCCACACGCCTACAATTCTCTGCTGCCTGTGTGGGCCCAGGATATATGGGAATGGTCACAGGACCATCGACCTTCTGCTGCCATTGTCCACGTAGCCTGACACCATCTTCTCATGCTCCTCTCTCCCCCCTCCCCTCCCCTCCCCTCCTCAGTTTATCATCTCTTTAGGATGAGTGCCGAGGACACTTGGCTCATCCTCGTGATTGCCCGCCCCCCCCATTCCAGCCTCCTTCTCTGTTACTCTCCCCCAAACACCTGCTCCTGGGTAGGGGACCTCCCACCTTGATGTCACCCCTCCACCTCCCAACCCCCAGAAACTCTCCAGCTCTGCATCCAAGCAGCTTCTTCTCACTTTCTGCTGCTAGTCCCACCATCACACCCAGGAGGCACTAGACTTCCCTCTTCTCTGGGCTGGAGGCTTCTGGAAGGCTCTGGGGGATTTCTGGACTTGCCTGTCCCCAACCCCATTTTCATGGGGGACTCCTGGAGGCAGTGCTGCTCCGTGGGGAAGGAGAATATGTTCCCTCTGTCTCCAGACTCCATGCCCCTGACACAGAAGCATTTGCAGCTCTTGAATGAATGAATTAGGTTCCCATTCAGGCCTCCCTCCTTGGTGATGTGAGTGGCTCTTATGAAATGCATGAACTGCATCCGCTGTGAGTTAATAAAGACACAGCTCATCTTTCAAAGCCTCCAGGCTGCTCCCCTGGCTTCAGTCCACCCCCTGGGGCTTATGTGACTTGTCAGGTGATTGGCATGGCCACTGTCCTGTGGGGCATCATTCCCCCCAGTGACCTTGCCTCTGGTCACAGATTTCAGGTCTCAAGTTTGATTGTAATCATAAGGCAGGGGTGTGGGGTGTGGGGTGGGGAAGGGGGAGGTTCTGACAAAAGCTGGGGTTTGAACGAGCTGCTTACCTAGTTTTGTCTCTCTGCAGGTGATGTCTCACCAATCAGTATGTCTCCCATCAGCCAATCTCAGTTCATTCCACTCGGGGAAATTCTTTGCTTGGCCATCTCAGCAATGAACTCGGCAAGAAAACCTGTCACCCACGAAGCACTCACGGAACACCTGACCACCTGTTTCCCAGGTAAGGGAGGGCAGGCAGTGCTGACGGCCAGCCATGCGCACTGGGGATTCTGGGCCCAGAAATGCATGCCCTCTTTTCAGTTTACCTAGAATCAGCGTGGGGACTTTTTGATCCAAACTGTCCAGAAACTTCCCTTCATTCTGTTAAAAGGCAAGGCACCTAGGTTACTGTAAACTCATCTGCCTTCTTCAGCTAGAATGCTTGTGTGGCACAGAGAAAAATCCAGATCCATGGGGCTGTCTGGTGCCAACAGTCCCTTCAGTCTGTGCAACTCTGTTTTCTTTAGTCAAGTCTTGTCTTTGATGGGGGGCCAGGTAGAGAGCATGTTGGTCCTAAGAAACCCTCCAGGGTGAATAATGTTCGAAATAAACATACGTCATGCATGAAGAGATTTGGAGGAAAGGGTGTTTGGAAAATTAGTAAAGATACCATTTTAAAAGAAGATAGAAAACAAGTGTTTCCTATTGTCTTGAATAGGATAGAAAGAAGACTATAATAGCCTGGATGCTGGGTGTTTCCAGTGATCAATGATAGGAAGAAGCTAAAGAATCTGTATTTTTAGAAACTGCCCACTCTCGGCTTCCCTCCAGAGTGGAGTTGCCAAATCTTCGGATATTTTCAAGAGGGTCAGAAAATTCATTGTATGTGAGATCTCTGGATTTCCTTTAATAGTGGCAGTGGTGTGTCTGGGTTGTGTGGGGGTACAAGGGTGTGTACACATTCTATCACATGCATGCCAGTGGCATGCAAGTCAAACATAACACTTTGTTTATAGATTCCCAGATTGTCAGTTTAGTTTAGATGTGTCCTTCACCTGGATCGAGGTGACATTTACACTAAAGGAGAACACTGGAGGTCCAAGGATGTAACCTTGTGGTGGGGCTTGTCTTGCAGGTGTGACAGCCTGGATTTGATCCCTGGCAGAGAAGGTGGGGGGGAGAGGAGAGGAGAGGTGAGGAGATGAAAGGGAGGAGGGAGAGAGGGAAAGAAAGGGAGAGAGGGAGGGAGAGGGAGGAAAGGAAAGAGGGGGAGAGAGAGAGGGAGAGAGAGGGGTAGAGGGGGAGATAGAGAGAGAGAAACAGAGAGATACCATGCATATTTTATCATTTAACCAAGAAGCTTATAGTGTATATCTGCTGTTGACTCTGTCGGTTCTAATGTGCTGTTAAGAAACCCTTGCAGAACACCAGATGCTTATAGCTTTGGTTTCGGGTCTGGTTTTGGTCTGTGGGGGCCTCCCAAGTATTGCTTCTGAGGCCTGGGAGCCCCACCACTGGTCTCAGCCAGTTGGACCAGGACTCAGTGTGAGTCCCCAGGATATGACCCTACTTTAGCTCTGAAGTGCTGGGGATTACCTGGGCCATCCGTGATTTGGGAGCCTCCAGATTTGGGGGAGCATGTGGTTCTGGGAATCGAACCTAGGTTAGCTGCATGCTACGAACTGCCCTGGCTGCTATCCCATCTCCCAGCCGTCACTTGGTGTGTTTTTAAGCCCCCTTCTCTGGGGGTTCCCCCAAATCCAAACTTAGCCAGGGGACTCAGAGTCTGGACTCTGTTAGAATAGTGTTATTTAACATATGTCTATGACATGTGACTTGTTCGCTATTTAACATGTGTGTGACATGTGACATGTTCATTAACTAACACATGTATGTGACGTGTGACATGTTCTCATATATGACATGTTACATTCGTTATTTAACATTTTTATGTGATATGTGACGTGTGACATGTTCTCATATATGACATGTTACATTCGTTATTTAACATTTTTATGTGATATGTGACGTGTTCGTTATTTAATATGTGCATGTGACATGTTTGTTATTTAACACATGTATGTGACATGGTTGTTATTTAACATATGTCTATGATATTTGACATGTTTGTTATTTAATGTATTTATAACATATCACATATTTGTTATTTAACATGTCTATAACATGTAACGTGTTCTTGCAACATGTTGCTTAACATGTGACACAAAAATTCTTCCCCTTCCCCCCATAGAACAAAATTATTTTTATCCAAAAAATGTGAGAAATATAAAGGGAGAGAGAAATATGATTTCAAGAGAGAACATGGGCTTCTCCACAGGGGAAAAAGCCTGAAAAATTATTCAGTGACAATGCTAAAATTCCATAAGGTGAAAGTATTTGCTATTTTAATACCTTACTCATTTCAAGATGGGCTGGAGTGATAATACAGTGGGTAAGGCGTTTGCCTTGCACATGGCCGACATGGCTGATCTGGGTTCGATTCCTCCGCCCCTCTCGGAGGGCCCAGCAAGCTACTGAGAGTATCTCACCCACATAGCAAAGCCTCGCAAGCTCCCCATGACATATTCAGTATGCCAAAAACAATAACAAGTCTCACAGTTTGTTGTGAGACGTTACTGGTGCCTGCTCGAGCAAATCGATGAACAACGGGAGGACAGTGCTACAGTGCTATTTCAAGATAAACTTTTTACTCTGAATACTGTTAACTGTGAGGACTGTCCCACTTAATACTCTTGTCCAAAGCACTGAGAGGGGCCCAGGCTGGGCTCTTCTCCTTTCTGGGGAGCCCCATATTCTAATCAGGTTTTAATCAACGATCACGATCACGATGATCACGACCATCCTGTTATTCATCGATTGCCTCGAGCAGGCCCCAGTAACGTCTCCTTCATCCTAGCCCTGAGATTTTTAAGAAAGTGCCATATTCAAGGCTCTTTAGGAGAATGAGTCATGGTGGGTCTCATTCTCTCATTTTTAACAACATCAACATCAACATCATTGTAAAAGTAAGCTGTTTGGGGGTTTGTTTTTGTTTGGTTTGGGCTTGTTTTTTGGTTTGGGGAACATACCAAGCAGTGCTCAGGGGTTACTTCTAGCTCTGGACTCAGGAATCATTCCTGGCAGTGCTCATGGGACCATATAGGGTGCCGGGGAGTGAATCTGGACCAACTATATGCAAAGCAAGAGCCCTACCCACTGTACTATCTCTCTGGTCTCTGGAACTTAATCAGCTTTATCATCCTTTATGGATGGAATTTTTGAAGACAGATTTTCTGAGGGGAGAGATGGGTCACACCCAGCAACTCTCAGGGCTTCTTCCTGGCTCTGGACTCAGGAGTCACTTCTGGAGATGCTTGCCCTGTGCTGTGCTTGGACATGAAACCAGGGTCCGTCATGTGCAAGGCCTTATCTAATCCTGTCTCTCTGGCCTGGAAACAGATTTTCTATACCAATTTCCATTACTGTAAAGCTGTTGGAAATGATGCAGGAATCATTTCCCACAGCTTTAAGGAGCAAGCTCAGGTCAAGGAGAGTGTGATACACACACTCTCTCTGTCTCCCTCTCTCTCACTCTCACTCTCTGTCTCTCTTGCTCTCTCTATCTCTATGTCTCTGTCTCACTCTGTCTCTGTCTCCCTGTCTATCTCTGTCTCCGTCTCTCTGTTTCTCTCTGTCTCTGTCTCTCTCTGTCTGTTTCTGTCTCTCTTTGTCTCTGTGTCTCTGTGCCTGTCTCTCTGTGTCCCTGTCTCTGTCTCTTTCTCCCCTTATCTCTCTGTGTCTCCCTCCAGCCCTCTCTCTCTGGTCCTTCTGTGCAGAAGCAGATGTTCAGGGCACTTTTAGAGCCTTGACTGAGTCTGCTCATGAGGTGGATATTGAAGTTCGACTTCCCTAGAATATTCAGATGACAGTCACTGTACTCTGTCCCCTGCCCAGTCCCCATGGAAGTATCCCTCACTTGCCCTTCATGGTAGGTGAAGGAATCTGAAGAAATCCATTGAAAGTGTCTGTTCTGGAGCCCAGGAGATAGGACTGAGGTGGACATATGCCTTGCATGGACCTGAACCCTGTGTGATTCCTAGCAGCCCTCCCCTCCATGACTGCTGGGAATGGCCCTGGAGACCCCTACCCCCATCCCCAAACATCACTGGGCACAACCCTGGATTCCCCAGGCACTTCTCGTGTGGCCTGGGTAATTCCCTGGTCCACAGAGTTCAGTTGCACTGCCTCTAAAGCCCACACAATGAACCATCAACCCAATTGGTCCAGAATCCCTAAGAGCCCACCCCCACACACACACATCCTCCAAGTACCCCTGAGAGACTCCTACCTGCTAAAAGATTTTTTTGCTCTTCCACGAGGATGTGAAGAACATGCCCCTTGTCTCATTTGCAGAATGGAGCAGTGGTCATTCTCCTTCGCTGCACTTTCAGGCAGTGTTTGGGACAATTTGTACTTGCTTTGGGTGGTGTGAAGACAACAGAGCAGAAAAGCCTGGCTTTGCTCTGTGTTTAGTTATGGAGTTCCACTCAGCAAGTCTTTATGGAGCACCTGGGGCATGCCAGGTCTTTGCTTTTTTATTGATGGATTCGGTTTGGTGTCATACCCGGGGGTACTAAGGGGTCACCTCTCGGTGCCCAGGGGTTGCTTCTGGCTGTGCTCAGGAGACCGTGTTCAAAGCATGTGCTCCAGCTCATAGAGCTTGAGTAGTTTTTTTTTAAAGCTTGGCTTTTGGGGGTCTTTTTTTTAAACCTCCAAATTCCAAATTTGTGATGTCTTGGGAATTGGCTGTAGAAGTGGTAGCATTGGAAAATGTTAGAAATACCCACCACAATTGGCTCTTTTCAGATGAGCCCTACATATTTCCAGGGGACCCCTGGACTTTATACAGTTGAAAATATCCATCATCCTTCAAGAGACGAGTAATAAATAATCATTAAAAAAATCAGTAACTTTTGGTTCAAGCTTTGGCAGAAGTACAGGAAGCAGGTTGGACAGGGAATATTTTAGTTTGTGGTTTCAAATTAAACATTATTTGATTGATATAGTTGAAAACTCTGAGACTTGGAAACTTTAGATGTAAATTCTCTATGGAAACATAATTATTCCTTCATTTGGGAACAGAGAAATTTTTGTGTGTGGGGGGTTAGAGGCAGGGATGGTGTGCATACCCTGAAGTGCTTAAGGATTATTCCTGGCTCTATGCTCAGGGATTATTCCAGGTGGTATTCAGAGGACCCTATGTGATGCTAAGGATTGAACCCAGGTTGGGTATGCTATAAGTGCTATGCAAGGCAAGCACTTACTGCTGTATTATCTCTCTGATCCCCAAATAATTTTTCTTAGCGATAAATAAACACCGTTGACTATAGTTTTGTAAGCTTGCGAGACCATCACTGGAAGGCTCCACTCAGAAAGTTCTATAAGACAGTTAAGTTTCTGTTTTCTATAAAATAGAAATGTAATATCAGTGTCAGCAATTTTTTTGAATTAGACCTTCGCTTTGCTTTATCATAGCAACTTGGTCAGTGGTTTGGTCACGAAGTCTTATAAACTGTTCCATTTGTGGGGAAGAAACTTCTTTCTCTGATCAGTGATCCTATGCTAAATGAAGTAAGACAGACTTCGTTTTAAAGATAGGGATGCAGGTCTGTGGTACAGCCCTTGCCCTGCGTGTGTGAGGCCCCGCTTTCCATCCCTACTACCACGAGTAAGGAGAGGCTGCTAAAATCTCAGGACTGGGACAAATGGAGACGTTACTGGCACCTGCTTGAGTAAATTGATGAACAACGGGATGACAGATACAGTGACAATACCACAAAAATAAAATAAAAAGCATTGTTGTCTGGATTTTCATGCTACACAACCCAGGGCATCATTATGTGAATGACTTTCACGGTAGGAACTGTTTTCTATGTGATGGGTGCCCCCTTTAGTTGTTCAGTAGAAGACTCTGATGGTTAGTAGGATGTAGACCCTTCTAGATGCTTCTTCCAAGATGTATCTTATACACACAAACATTTTCTTGTTGACTCCCAAGAACAACATTTCTATGGCTCAGATTGTGTCACACATTCAACAGACTTTACTACTTATTTTGTGCAGAAATTGTCACAGAATAAAAAGAAGTTATCAAGGACTTGAGAGAGAGAGCACAGTAAGCAGGGCATTTGCCTGGCAGGAGGCCGACCCAGATTCAGTCTTGGCATTCCATCTGGTCTCCTGATCACCACCAGGAGTAATTCCTGAGTGCCGAGCCAGGAGTAACTCCCTAGCATCACCAGGTGTTGGCCCCTAAACCAAGAAATAAATAAAAATAAAGAAGAAATTAAAAGAAGTTATCAAGCTGACCTTGAAATCATTGTCATTAAAACCCGTGTGAGTCTCCAGAGCAGAACACAGGAATAAAAGGAAGCTGTTTGACTCAAGAAACCTCACACAGTTATGTCATCACTTATGGGTACTATGGGTGACTGCTCAGGTAGAACACTTGTGTGCCTGACTTTCTGCTCCTACTCTCAGTCCCCTGGAAAACTGTTGGCCGTTTCCAGTATGTCTATTTCCTTCCTCCATGTTTTGGAAGGGTTAGGGAATCCTCAACATCTCGACCTGCTCAGCTGCCCTAGACAGTTACCTCATGTTCCCTGAAGGTCCTCTGGGTTTCTGTGGAGAACCATGAGTCATTGGTAAGCCAAGCTCAAGCTCAGAGCACTCACACTTTGTGAGGCGCTGTCCTCAAGAAGTTAAGCTTGTTTAGAGTCACTGCAACCTGAGAAGGAAGGTACTTGATTAGCTACATTTGATGACAAGAAATGGAGGGCCATCGCAGCTGTGTTCATTCTCTCTTGGCTACCCACAGCACAGCCCAGGAGGCTTAACTGTCAGAACCAGAGTTATGTAGCTCTGGAGCCTACTAGTCTGAAGATGAAGGTATCAATAGAGTTGGTTGGTTATTTCTTTACCAGGTTCTGGCAGGAAGACCCTGATCCAGAACATTCAGCCAGGGTTTCTACTTTGTCTTTTTTTATTTGTTGGTTTTGCTTTTGATTTCTGGGACATACTCAGAAGTGCTTAGGGCTTCCCCTTGGCTCTGTGCTCAGGAATCACTCCTGGTGGGCTCATGGGACAATCTGGTATGCCCGGGTTTGAACCTGGGTCTTCCACATACAAGGCAGATGTTCTACCTGCTGTTCTGTTGCTCCAACCCCTCTATTTTGTTGTCCGTGCCTGACTTGACATTCGAATTTCTCCCTTGTAAAAATATGCCAGTCACCTGGGATTAGGAACCTTCCCAATCACATTATTTTTAAGTTCCTTACTTCTGTGAAGACCTGATCTCTGTATTCGGTCTCACAGAGGTATCGGTGATTAGAACTTCCAAAATGTACCTGAGGGGCGGGGGAATAACTCAACCTATAACATTAACCAACAGTAGTGGCATTGGAGGTTTGGAGAGTGCAGTACTATAATCTCACCCTAGAACCCACACCTACATTCTGTGATGCAATTGCCATTTTTGTGGCTCAGACATGGTTATATAGAAGGCATTTGATCCCACGAGACCTATTTCCAATGACATCATTCAGATCAGTCTTGGATGTGTTATCACCCTCAGTTTGCCGGGCTTCCTGAATGGAGACTACCCAGAAAATAGTCAAGGTACCTCAACCTGGAGAAACCTCTATTCTCTAGGAAGTTACACTGTCTCTCTGTAGACAGGCATAGACAGGCACACAGAAGTCCTTGAAAATAGCATCACCCACTGTACAGAGAAATACCATACTTTTTAATTGGGATTTTTAGTCTCACAAATATGGTGGATTTAGATTCAAAGACCAGACACATAGCTGAGATCCCACCAGTGTCTTTGTTAGGACTCTGATAACAAACGAGCAAAACTAGCTCTGACCTGTGACTGATGCCAAGAAGTGGGATTTTTCTCACCAGAATCTCTCTGTGCGGGGGTCACCTTTGTAACTGCAGGCAGTGGTTCCAGAATGAGATGGGAAATTGTATACAATGGTCCCATCTGGTTCCTTCTGCAGCCTAAAAAACTTTGTGAAGTTTTATAGACTAAAAAACTTTTTTAGACTAAAAAACTTCACGTAGTACAGTCTAAAAAACTACCTTTTTAGACTGTACCTACATGTACAGTCTAAAAAACTACCTTACAAAAGGGGTGTCTAAAGTCACCTCCATAGACAGGGAAGACTCTGGAAGATGCATTATAGGGTTTTCAATTACAAAGGGACACTTTCAATCTTGAGCTCCTGGTTGTTTTGATGGGAAATGCCTATTTCTGCCCATTTATTACCATACCCTGTCTAGCGCTTTCTCTTTTCCCCTCCCTTGCTGGGTCTTTCAAAACTCTGGTGAGTAATGGTGGCTGCTGAAGCAGCCAACACCTTTCTGAGGCCCAGCTCTGGCCCGCAATACCCCATGCTCCAGGGAACCACCTTCCCTAAAGAACTCTAAATCATGAATAAGGCTTACATGTCATGTGATAACACTGTGGCTTTGGAAAATGAATCAGAGTCTGCTTTCGGGGCACAGTAAAAAAATAACACTGTCTGAGGGGCTGAGGTGCCCAGTGAGATTCCTCAGGTCTGAGGCGGGAGGTTTAATGTGACAGTGCCCATACATGTGGTGTCTGGGGGGAGGGGGAGTCCTCTTCTGATCTGAGAAGGGAGAGTCAACATGGCGGCACCCATAGATGTATTGTATGGGGGAGGGTCCTCTTCAGATCTGAGGCAGGATATTCAATGTGGCAGTACCCATAGATGTGTTGTTCGGGAAAGGGTCCACTTCAGATCTAAGGCAGGAAATTCAACATGGTGGCGCGCCCATGGATATGGTTGTCTGGAGGAGGGTCCTCTTCAGATGCGAGGCAGGAGATTCAACGTGGAAGTACCTATAGATGTGGTATCTGGGGGAGGGTCTGCTTCAGACCTGAGGTGGGAAATCCAACATGGCAGCGCCCATAGATGAGATACCTAGGGTAGGGTTTGCTTCCAGGCTTTGCAACAGGGAGAGGGACTATGTCTGGGCTCGTCCTTGTCTTCTACAGGCACGTTGCTGAGGAGTTGGGGGACCCTTTTGGCTTATCACCTCTTCCCACCTCCACAGACTATTCCGGGAGGGTTTAGGGTTGGGATGTAGGGATAGGAGTGGGGAGGAGGAGGTGGTGGTGTGGGGACCCTCCACCCTCAGTTCCCCCGCAACGTCTGAAACACTGGCCACCCACAGCCCGTTCCCACTTCTTTCCTGTGACTTCTCTTTTTTTCTTGCCTCCCCGACTTTTTGGGATTTAGGTGTTCCCACCCCAAGCCAAGAGATTCTCCGACACACACTGAACACTCTGGTGCGGGAGCGGAAGATCTACCCGACCCCCGAGGGCTACTTCATCGTGACTCCGCAGACTTACTTCATCACTCCCTCCCTCATAAGAACTAACAGTAAATGGTACCATTTGGACGAGAGGATCCCAGACCCCTCCCAGTGCACCTCCCCACAACCCAGCACCCTCACGCCCTCGGCCTCGGGCTGCATCCGGGAGAGGACCTTGCCCCGCAACCACTGCGACTCCTGTCACTGCTGCCGAGAGGACGCGCACAGCATGCACGCCTCCACGCTGCAGAGGAAGTTCGCCAAGGACTGCAAGGACCCCTACGGCCCACCGCCCCTCTGCCAGGTGCCGCCCCCCGAGAAGAGCAAAAGCACAGTGAACTTCTCCTACAAGGCCGAGACCCTCTCCAAACCCAAGGAGGGCGAGAAGCAGTCCAAGAAGTTCGGGCTCAAGTTGTTCCGGCTGAGTTTCAAGAAGGACAAGACCAAGCAGCTTGCCAACTTCTCGGCACAGTTCCCCCCTGAGGAGTGGCCCCTGCGGGATGAGGACACGCCCACCACCATCCCCCGGGAGGTGGAAATGGAAATCATCCGGCGCATCAACCCCGACCTGACGGTGGAGAACGTCATGCGGCACACGGCCCTCATGAAGAAGCTGGAGGAGGAGAAGGCGCATCGCAGCAAGGCGGGCTCGTCCGCCCACCACAGCGGCCGCAGCAAAAAGAGCCGGACGCACCGCAAGTCGCATGGCAAGTCGAGGTCCCACAGCAAGACGCGGGTGTCCAAAGGGGACCCGTCCGAGGGCTCCCACCTGGAGATCCCCGGGGACCGCGAGTACGACTTCTGCGACCCGGTGACCCGGGCGCCGCGGGAGGGCTGCTTTATCATCGAGCACAAAGGCGACAGCTTCATCATGCACAGCAACACCATCCTCGAGTCCCATTTCCCCATGACCCCCGAGTGGGACGTGTCCGGGGAGCTGGCCAAAAGGAGAACGGAGATGCCGTTTCCGGAACCTTCCAGGGGCAGCGCCCACTCCAGAGTGCACCGGAGCCACAGCCACACGCAGGACCGGAGGTCGCGGAACGAGCGGTCCAGCAAAGCCAAGGAGCGATCCAGATCCATGGACAACTCCAAAGGGCCTCTGGGCACGTCTTCCCTGGGGACACCTGAAGAGCTGGCGGAAGGCTGCAGCCAGGACGACCCGACCCCCGGCCAGTCGTACGTCGACGACAGTACTTTGAGGCCCGCACAGACGGTCTCCCTCCCCAGGGTGCACGTGCTGTCCACGGGCTACAAAGAGGTGTGTCTTCCGGAATTAGTCGGTGGCAGCAAGGAACCTTCCGGAAGCTGCAGCCTCTTGGAGCCAGGCAAGCCCACCGTCGAAGCTTTGCCTTCCTATGGCGAGCTCAGCCCCTGTCCCGCGAAAGCGAGCACGGACGACTACTTCCAGTGCAATACCTCCAGTGAGACCGTGCTCACGGCGCCGTCCCCTCTGGGCAAGAACAAAGAGGACCACGACACGCTGACTTTAACGGAAGGGGTGAAAAAGCTGCCTCTGTCTGAGAGGCAGACCCCCCACTCCTCCAGGGAGCCTGTGGGACATAAGGAGGAGTCTCCCAAAGGGCCAGGAGGGGGCCCGGTTGCGTCGGGCACGGGGGCTGATGGACTGGTCAATGGGCGCCTGGTCCCGCACCATGGCACCGAGTCCAGCAGCCTGGACAAGAGGAAAGAGATTTTCAGCAAAGACACCCTGTTCAAACCCCTTCACAGCACCTTGTCTGTCAACAGCTACCACAAGTCAAGCCTGTCCCTCCTCAAATCCCACCCCAAGGCCCCGGGCGACCCGCTGTCTGGACGGGGCGAGAAGCTGGAAGCCTCACTGGTGGGGTCCACGGGGGCGCAAGCTGGGCCGGCCTCCCAGCGCCAACAGGAGCCCGGGGGGAACCAGGAGGCCTCGTTCGACTATTACAACGTCTCCGATGATGATGACTCGGAGGAAGGGGCCAACAAAAATGCAGAGGAGGAGAAGAACAGAGATGCCGTGGGTACCATGCAGTGGCTTCTAGAGCGGGAGAAGGAGAGGGACTTGCAGAGGAAGTTTGAGAAGAACCTCACGCTCGTGGCCCCCAAAGAAACAGACAGCAACAGCAGCCAGAGGGCCACGCACTCAGCCCGCCTGGACAGCATGGACAGCAGCAGCATCACCGTGGACAGTGGCTTCAACTCGCCACGGTAGGGAGCCCCGATGCCCACTTCTGGGCCTTCTTCACCAAGCCCAGCCCCTTCCCCAGGTGGTTCTGGTCTCACAGTCTCGGGGCTGTGTGTGTGGGGACACGCGGGGGAGCTCTCCCGGTTAACGCTCTGTTTCTGACTTCTTTTTCAGGAATTGAGAAACCAGGTTTCTGCAGCTGTAGAGGTCACCAATCTGGACTGGTGGGTTGGCCCCCATCCCTCAAAGTGGCCCCGGCCCCATCTAGATGCTTTTAAGACCCACAACATGCCCATTCGTTTGGTTTCTGTATTGTTAGTGCCACCGTGTTAATCAAAGAACGGATTTTTTTTTTTTTTGCTCTGGTTCTTACATTTTTTTTTTCATAGTAACTTTGGGAAGAGAATGAGTAATCATTGGCAGGAAGGGGAGAATTGCGGATGCTAGGGGGAATTTGATTGACTCTAGCATGGAGTCGATGGAGGTTATTATTGATGGAGGGTCCCACTAGTGAGAAGATACTAGCCTCAACCCCTGTCCAGCGGATGTGCGGCTTTGGCCGTTCTCGTCCTCACACCCCCCTGCTTCACCTATGTTTCACCTCTCCAGGGCCCAAAGAAATATAACCTTATTCTCACCTGGAGAGATTAGTGCCCTTTGCTCTGCTAGCATGGACCAGCCTTGCTCTTTCTCCCCCAGCCAAATTCATAAGGATCCATGGCAACCCCATAACCCGTTTCTTCTTTTTCGTGGGTGACCCAACAAAGATGACAGGCGGGGAATGTGCCTTCCCCACCCCCGAGGTCACGGGCTCAGGGGCTCCCAGTGCAAAAACCAGCCTGAACTACTTCCTGTTTTCTCTCCTTCACTCTTCCTTCTCCTCAAAGACCAACTTGGGACCTAATTCTCCTTCTGAATTCTACTCCAGATTGGTGACTCTGAGACGCAGAAATGCTGTTGGGACATAGGCGTTTCTCACTTGCTGTGATTCACAGGATTTTACCACGTTTAATAATCTTAACTGGTACCCAGATAGGCTTGTGTCTGCCATTTATTTATTTTCATTACAAAGGGTCAGAATAAGTTCTTTTATGACCATTTCACTGTATCTGTGAATACTTTGGAGGCAGAATATTCCAAAAGCAGAGTTGGGAATTAATCTGCATGTCCCATGTGAGGTTTTTGTTATTTTTTCAAGCTACTTCTTTATGGTTGTTTGTTGTTATCACTGTTACTAATATTAGTGGGCTATAACCTTTGTTCCAAGTTAACATATATGTGGAAGCCCAGTGCCTCGGCAGGCCACAAAGATGACACTCTGGGTACAGTGAGTAGGCGACCAGAACCCTAGGTCTCTTATCTGTCCCTGGGGGACCCCCTAAGGAACTTCAGGGAATTATGGGCTCCAGCTGAAAACTACTGGCTGACTTACTCCTGACATTTCTAAGGAATCATTTTTGCTGAGTGTTTTTCTATCCCTATTCAAATTTCGATTAAGCAATTATGTTATCGATGAGTTTTTTCCTGCTGCCCTCTCTTCCTCTTCCTTTCCCTCCTCATGACCATATGGCTGTGGATTCCAGACTTATAGTCTGGTCATGGGAACACCCATGATGACAGTGGAAAGCCTGATCTGCACCCGTCTCTACTCCTGTCTCCAGATCTCCCCTGGTTTCACACTTTCCCCCAGTAGCTTCCAGCCCCCGGCTTTGCCCTCCAGGGCTGAGAAGGTACTGAGGGGAGTTTCATGCGTTCCAACTCAAGGCCTCACCCCTGCATAGTTTTGAAAGTTTATGAAAAAAAATTACATAATTGGTAAACCGGCGTCTCCACAGAGTGTACGATGATCTTCGATGTAGGGCTGTCGCACCGAGAATTGATGAATTATTGAAATTCAGTATTTCCTGAAGTAAGTGTCTTTATGTTTCCTTCCTCCTGGGCCATGCATCAAATGCTTCGTCGTGGTGGAACTGAAGGACCTTGAAGGGGACAATGACCTCTTCCTTCCACTCTGGGCCTGGCTATTGTTATTACATAGAACCTATTCGGGATGAATATGTCACCCATGCAGTTAGAGAAGTTCCAGAATCATTCCTCATGGGACCCCTTTTGTAGAGAATTGTTTAGCTAGACACTAGCTGTTATTCAACTTTTCTGAAGCCTGAGGATAGTTTTAGAAAGATTTGACTTAGACTTTTTCTCCCCAGCATGGAGAGTTTCATAGCCAAAAAGCATAATCAAAATTATATTTCTCCGGGGCTGGGAGGACCCACAGATCTTTGGGGTGCCATTTATTCAGATCTTCAATCATTCACTGAGCTGCTGAGATCTGACAGGCGGACAAAAATGGTGAGCTTATCCACACTAGGATTTCTCAGCCACAGTCCTTCAGGGCCTTGCCAGAAAAACCTGATTTTGTTTCCAAACTGAGGCCCTAAACCAGTGGAAATGGTGGGGTGCAAGACTGCAGGACTCGGTGGACCCAGAGAAGACCACATCTATGGAAGGATCCTCTGGGTCTTCTGCCTCTAAACTCCAGCAGTCCTATCACCCTAGAAAATCTTTGTTTGCTTGTTTGTTTGTTTGTTTGTTTTGGGAGGTCACACCCAGCAGTACTCAAGGCTTACATCTGGCTCAGGGCTCTAGGATCACTCTTGGCAGGCTTGGGGTTGGGGTAGGTGGTTGGGGGGAATATGGGATGCTGGGGATCAAACCTAGGTCAGTCACATGCAAGGCAGACACCCCACCCACTGTACTATTGCTCTAGCTGCTGCAGACATAACATGGTTTATGACATTATGTCAGTCTCACATGCATTGTATTCCATAAAGTATAATAAACCCATATGCATATGTCTATCATCTCTACTAAAAGTTTAATTTCCATCCATTGCCATATACTTGACCCCTGCTCACCCATTTTGGAAATCTCCCTCAACCCTCATGAACCCTGGTGTCCATTTTGGTGTCGGTGGTCAAACATAGGGCCTTACACTTGCAAGGCAAGTGCTTTACCACTAAGCTATATCCCTGGTCTGGAAATCTTATTTTGAACCTTGCCCATCCTTCACACAAAAGAAGAAAGAAAGATCCAAGACAAAACTTTTTGATTTGGGGACTATTCATCACTCACACACCAGCTTCGTGAATGTTTGCATCTTCCCATTAAGAACCCTCCATGACTAGCACATTCTCTCCCTGTGAGTACAATACTAATGCAATATATGTTAGGAAGAACCGAGAGGCTTATAGTACAGCGAACATGAGTATGGGGTTGGAGCGATAATACAGCCAACCTGGGTTTGATCCCTGGCACCCATATGGGCCATCTGAGTGCAGATCCAAAAGTAACCCCTGAGCACTACTGGGTGTGACCCCCTGCCAACACACACACACACACGCACATGCCCCCCACGCACACACATGCACATGCCCACACACACACACATGCACACATACACAAACATGCACATGCACACTCTCGCACACACATGCACATGCACGCAGACACACATGCACACATGCACCCGCACACACACAACATGCCCGCAATGCTCACAGAGGTGAGAGTCCCGGGAAGTGCACACAGCTCCCAGCTCGATGATCAGCTGCAAAGCTTTGTATTAGGGTATCCGGGACCAGCAGGCACCTAGTTCGAGGGAGGGAACCTGAACCGGGCCTTGAGGGCTGCTTTCAAAATGAGCTCTTTAGCCACGAAAATGCAGCAATCTGTAGAAAAGGTGTCGCTCATGAGCTAGAGGACCTCACAGCCACCCACAGGAGTGACGGCCCTTAGACGCCAGAGGGGCCAGCTGGCTGACTTTCTAGTGCCCACGTTCGCACGATGGCTGCTTATTGGAGAGTCCATCCTTAAACCCTCCCAGCTTACAGATGAGGGCCAAGAGTCTGTCTGAATGCTCCCCTCTACCTCCTGTCCCGAGCCTGTCCCTCTGCTCACGTGCTAACACGTGTTTCTTTAGGGGAGGAGGAAGGCAGGAAAGTGGGTCAAATCTGGCCTTTCCCAGCCCTCCTGGAAGGATGTTCTGGAGTATGCTTGGGGGAGATCCAGCTTTTCCCTAAGAACAATGGAAGAGCTACACTTATTTCTAGACAACTTCGGGAGGTGCCCTCTGGCTTCCAGAAAGGTCTGGTTATCTGTTTCATAATTGGTGGAAAATTTCCTGTGAATCAGTGAATAAAATTTGACTCCTTGATGTGAAGCAAACTTAAGATTAAAGGAGCTTTGAATGAAGTGACCAGTTAGGGAAACGGCTAAGATCTGGCATTGAGAATGAACTGCTGTGTGTTGAGGAGGGCAAGGAGAGAGAGGCAGAGAACTGGGGGCTTATAGTATTGTCAGACCTGTCCACCAGTCCCGGCAGGAAGTTGGTTGTATGGGACCCATTCCCTCCAGAGACTGTTTAATAAGCCTTGCACCTATTCAATCTGATGAATGTTGTTTGTTTTTAACTTGGTTTTTGGGCCACACCTGGTGATGCTTAGGGGTTTTTCTTGACTCAGCACTCAATAATTACTCCCGGTGGTGCTCAGGGGACCATATGGGTCAAACCTGTCTGGCCGTGTGCAAGGCAAGTACCCTACCCGCTATCCTATTGCTCGGGCCCCTGGGGGATGTTCTGAGCATGATTATGGTTTCTTCAGTGTCCTTAGAAGCGGATAAGTTTCTTTCTACCATTTTAAACTCCTTGAACGTGAAACCAGCCTGGTTCCCATTAATTAGTTATGAAAGCTTCTTCCTGTCACCCCTACACGTCTGAGCAATGAAGAAGGGGTCTAACCTTTGGAACAACAGAGTCAACTCCCATATTTCTAATTTGGGAAAATGCAGAAGGAAATTGAAAGCCTGACTCTCTTTCACCACCTCAACTTTAGAAGAAGTCTTTAAAAAATAAAATATTTCTATCAGAACTGGGACTTGCAGGGGGAGCAGGAAGAAGTTAGACATAGCCTTCGCAAATGAATGATGCAGTGGGGTGGTGGGAGAGGGTAGATTCTTTATCTGAAAATACAGAGTGTTTTAATTAAAGGGTGAGCATTAGAAGCAGAGGGGTGGAATGCTGGGAAACCAAGGTGGGAAATTAGCTATTGGTATGCCAGAATCAAAATCTGAGTGAGAACAAACTCCAGATCACTCAAAGGTAGAATGACTGGGCATTTTGGAGGAGAGTTAGACTCACACAGTTCCAGTGCAGAAAGAAATCATTTTTTACTTACGTCTATTTCCAAGGAGTCTGTTCATGAATTGGATGTGACCAGTGTCCAGTGCTGGATGCTGTTCTTGCGACCAAGGAAGGGGAAGGCATGTGAAGAGCATGTCCCCGTAGGAAATCTTGCCTCCAGTCTCGGGGGTGGTTGGGAGCCCTATCATGGAGGCGCGGGAGTGAGCCGTCAGCCTGAGAGGGACCCACCGAGGAGGAGACCTGATAGCTCCATCACTGGAGCTCCCAAGATTTCTCTCCCCAACACAACAAACCCTCTTTACTCTTGTAGCACTCGGGAGAGCCTGGCTTCCAACACGTCGAGCATCGTGGAGAGTAACCGCCGCCAGAACCCGACCCTGAGCCCAGCCCATGGCGGAGGCGGGCCAGCCTTCAGCTTCCGAGCGAGCACAGACGCCCCCACCAACGAAGCCGAGAAATTACAGAAACCTTCCAACTGCTTGCAGGCTTCTGTGACTAGCGTGTGATGGTCCTTCTGCCTCCGATCTCCTGTCTCATTCGAACCAGCCAAGTTTACGACACTGGGACTGATGTTTACATCTTTGGAAAGACAAGCATCTCAACCACAGTTTTCGTGTTCACCTAAACTGTGCTGCTAAGTAGGCTAAGGCAAAAACAAAACAGAAACACAAAAATCTTTATTTCAGAGTATTGCTTTTCAATTTATGGCTCTGTAGCAACTGACTAGCAGTAGGGTGATATGTATACTTTTGCTTCACTAATTGTAACTGAGCACACATAGGGAAGTCGACACACTGTATGTGTGATATGCATTTTCAATGTCATGCTGTCGCCAATTTCTTTTTCAAATGCCACAGGTGCGTGTTGCTACCAACCTCTGGTTGGACGGTACCGCAGAACTGATCCTTGACACTTCCCAAACAAATAACGAAAGCCACTACAAAATGTCACATGCAAGGGTCCACTGTGGGGGAAATCAATGTCAAACTGACAGAAGGAACCCAGCCCGTTATGTGTCTGAGTCATTGGGACATCAGTCATTTTTCACTGTGAGTTCTCGTGACCCGGGTTTCCCAGGAGCCCGTGGAAGTGTGTGAGAAGGGGTCGCGATCGGAGTATGGGAGTGTTTGTTTTCAGGATTCTTGTCTTACGTGTACCAGATGCTTACATGTCTGATTTTTAACCTTCCATAATCACCAACAGGAATATAGGCCTTTGAATCTGAAGTGGACAGAGGAAAGACAGGCCCAGCCTGGCCGGGAGCCCACCACTGAGAGATGGAGAGGTAAAGTGGAATTTTAAAAGGTGTCAATCAGATATGTCAGGAAGGAAATTTCCTCCTTATAATATTTAGGATGATCCTCTCTTCCTATAATAAATATGATAATTAGTTTGTTAAAAAGCAACATGTTCTTTGTGATACAAATGAAGAGTATGGGCTGAGGATGTTATTCTTTCTAATGGAAGGACATAAATCTATTTTATGTAGTTTTAAATAGAATGCCTAAATTAGGCTATGGGAAATAATTTTTAGTGGTTCTAGGAAAGAGCAAAATTAGGGAGTTGAACTTCAGGCCTTTTATTCCTGGGAAGATATCTATAGAGAAAACTTTAAAATAATTTTTGATTAGAAATATACATGTGCCCATGTAATTAACAGCAGAATTGTGCTCATTCTGCAAGAATAGTATAATTCTAACTTGCACTCCTCTAAAATTGATCAAAATAACAATTATGCATACCTAACTATGCCAGAAGAATGTTTACAACTACTTTGTAACCAATTTCAGGAGGGATTTTTACATCAGATAGGTAGTTCTTAGCCCAAGTTATTTCTAAAGGGTTTGTTAACATTTTGGTTTGGTTTATGAAGTCACGTTGGATACAGAGATTCTCAGCAGCAAAAAAAAAAAAATACAAAAAAAATTAAGCTTCAACTTTATAAGAAAGAGACTTTTTCAAGTTCCCATGTTTGCAGGTTGGAGAGATAATAAAGGCAGGGATTAAGAGCCCTGCTTTGCATGGAACCAACCCAGGTTTGATCTCCAGCACTGCAGGCTGTCCTGAAGCACAGCCAGGAGTGATCCCTGAGCACAGAGCGAGGAGTAAGGCCTGAGCATAGCTGTGTGTGGCCCCAAAACCAAAACCACCACCACAACAAAATAGTTAAAAAGTGGTCACATTTTATGAGAACAGTAGAACAAATTACTACAAAATGAAAAATGATTTGCAAAAGGGTTGCATATAATATAAGCAAATGGCCTGACACGTGGTTTTATTTCATTCAGTGGAATGTGATATTTGGAGCCATATACCAGAACATAGAGATCCGAAAAAAGAAAAAGAAAATAAAAAATATTTTGAACATCCGGGATTCAGCCACTGGCAGAAAAGCAGTGGGACCCTTGTGTGTCAGCCCGGGTGTCGTAGCTAGCTAGCATTCTGCTGGAAGGCTGCAATTCTTGTTCTCGTGTCCAGAGTGCTGTTCAGTCTTGAAAAATGGAAGTTGGTTTGGGTCCAAGTGGACCATCAGTTTTACTACCGCTTCCTTCTTTGTGGTGCTTAGCGTGAAAGCGCCAGAATCTTGGTCACTCCTACAGCACTGAAATGGACTTTCGTGGCATGCCTCAGTTGCTCAGAAATACACTCCTGGCCTTGTTGCTTAATTATCTCCAGAGGAAACAGTCGGTGCAGAGTGGAGAGAGAGACTGGGAACCCCATGTCTTTCCAGAGGGAGCTGGCTACCAGGTGGTTCCTCACTGCTTCCGGCTCAATTATCTCCCCCACCCTCAAAACTGTTCTCATATGTTCATCATCTTACCAGTTCCTAAATATTTACAACCCAGAAACCATACGTCAGTCTCTGGGTGAGCCATTCTCATAGTCTGCTGCTGTGGGAAAGGAAAACGTGAACTTTGAAATAGGAATTTGTCACGATTTCCCAAAAACTAGGTTTACAGAAGACATTCTTCAAATTCTGGGGGTCCTGGGCTCCATGATCCAAAAACTCCCTTAAAGAAACAGCCATTTGCATAGAAATGATGGACTTGAAGGTGCTCCGAGGCCCACAGATCTTCTTACGTTCTTAGGCTGGTGGCCCGTGGAGATTCTTGCCTGGGAGAGGGGAGGTGTGACCAGAAGCATGTGACACATGTGTCCCGAAGGCGAGGTTCTCAGCGACCCAACATTGGGACCTGCCCTAGCTTTTCCACCACCCTTTTCCTTCAAGGACACGGAAGCTCTGTGTGAAGGGGTTGGACCCCAGTCTTGGCTTGGAGAGTGTCCCCCCCCACCCCCCACCCCCGGGAAAGGCGGGTAGAACTCAGCCGGTGGAGAGCATTCCACTTCCGAGGGGCAGCCAACTGTCTGCCTTTTGCACTTATGTATTAGTATGATACAGCCTGTTCCTTTCTGTAACTTTTATTTTTGCATATAACTACCTCCATAAATTTGATGAAGCAGCAGCCCTGCTTGCAGTGTATTGTTCAGCAGAACGAAGTTGCAACCTTTCTCCACCGAATTTAGGCCATGATGTCCTGTGTGTGCTCGAGCGTGTGTGTCTGTGTCTGCAGGTGTCGATGTGGACTCCTGACTTGGGTGCTCCCATCGTTTTTCTTTGCCAGCCTTCTGCTCTCTTCAGACGTCAAGCTCTCTCTCCTCTCATCCCCACAGAATTGTGCTTGATCTCATGACAAATGAAAGCAAACTTCATTTTCTTCCCCCGTCTCCCCCATTTCTGCTAGAAGGTCTCCCTAGCCAAGAGCCCAATTGGGAAACAGTCTTGAGTGAGCTGCTCCTCAGGAAACTCAGATTCAGATTCTAGGTTTTCAGTCCCAAAAGACTAGAGAAATGGGGACTGCCAGGTCGAGACCACGTTGGGTCTCTCAGCCCCCTTCCTTACACCACTTTCTTGAGTCCAAACTTGATTCTAGTTGCAAGCACCGTGTGATGCGTTCACCACTTTGAAAGTAATGGGTATTCCATTTTATTTCTGTGACACCTCTCAGGGGACCTCAATGAGCATCTGGAAAGGGGAAGTTTACCAAATAGAGAAAACCCATAATAGAGGCGGAGGGGAACTAGCTGGACCCCAATTCTCAAAAAAAAAATAGTAATAATTACAAAACCCTGCTTCTCTAATTTTGGTGCAACCCAAGTTCAGGAAGCAGAAATTGAAAGTTAATTTGGAAGTAACAATGCTCAGAACACCAGCTGTTCCCAAATCGCCCCTTTCCATAAGCCAGCCAGCATTTCAGAAACATACATTTAAATGCTATTGCATGCACCATGGGGAGAAAAGGAAAAACAAAACCATGTTCAACGAACACGGAGGCATTGCTCCTTGTTTGTAGGTTGGCACTGCTTTGTAAAAATTCTACCCAGGATAAACCACTGATCACCATAAAGTGTACTTGAAAATAAAGTTTGTAACTGGAGCAAGAGGCCTATTGCTTATAGCAGTGCTCGAGTCTCAAAAGCCTCGCCATTTGTACCAGGGGCAGTATTAGGTTCTTGATTGAAAACCAGCCACCAGTCATGGCTTGGCTAGCTCATTTGGGGATCTCCGAGTGTTTTCAATGCATTCAGAGTCATGGACAATTCCTGAAGCAGATCCTATCTCTAATACCCATACTTGACATGAACAAGCGGAAGGAGTGACTTTAAGTTACCCAGTAATGCCAGTGGCAGCTACCACGGGTCTATCTCTTAGATAGACCCTCTGGGAAATTCCTACACACACGTAACTGTTTTTCCGATGTGTGCTAATAAAGTCAAAGAAAACAAATGCATCTCGGCACCTTTACCCGTTTTCATTGGGAAGGTCTGTGCTGTCCCTCAGCACGGCTCACTGCCTCCCCCTCCGGCAGTGACACCCGAGCCCAATCCACCCAAATTCTGTGGCCAGCGGAGCTCAGCTCTAATTCGGCCATTGGTGACGTTTCCTGTTGGGTTTCTTAGATTTCCCGTGCTTGAAACACCGCCTGTCAGGAGCGCGACTACTTCTGACAGTAGAAGGTGCTGAAGCAGAAATCCTCACTGACCACTTAATCCAGACCTCTCTACAGTGCTCCTGAGCACAACCGAAACCCAGAACCCTGTGTGCATTGTTGAGCCCTGCTGGGTAGGATCTGGATTTCTGAGGGAGCTCCTTGTTCTTAGGGTTTCCTCAGAGTTGGAGACGGAAGGCCCTTCAAGGGCACCTTCTCCACGGCCCAGGCCTCACTCTGGCAGCTTGCTGCTGGGTGATGTGCCCCCCCACCCCCTGCAGAGTGAGCTTTCCCTCGCCCCTCTTGAAGTCTGTACAGTCCTCTTACCTCCTGTTGAGGCACCCAGAATTCTACTTGGGAGCGACTCCTCTGCACGTGTTCAGGGCTTGGGAAAGTCAGAACACGGGGAACATGAACACTACAAGCCTCATGGTTTTCCAAACCGTGGAGAACCTGGTTAGGCTTTAGGTTCTTATAATAGGGCCAGCAAAGTGGTTGCCTCATGCCCGCTCTTTGCCCAGTAATGTGAAAGAACCAGCTACGAGGCCATGTCCCTCTGCCAGGAGATTTTACAGGATTATAAAATCCAGCCATAGATATTTGTATCTAGGACACATTTCATGAGTGATAGAGATTTTTTAAAAAGAAAGAAAGAAGAGAAAAGAAACACCCATCATAGCAATCTCCTGGCATGTTTGCAAGAAGCATTGGCACCTTCGTGCTAGAGTTCATCTCGTGTCTTGGGCATTTCAGAGAGAGAGAGTTTATGGGGGCTTCAACCGAGTCCGATTTTTGCCTTTTTTGCCCTTGTTTTGAGGATGTAGAAGGCACATTCTCCAAGGCTCAAGAGGGATTCGGTCTTCTTAGGGATGCCCGTTAGCAGGGACGGGGCTTTTGTGGTTCAGCCGGCTTCCCAGGCGAACGCACACAGGCCCCACCTGGATGCTAGCAGGGTGGACCCCGTGAGGCAGCAGTGGTTCCAGAAGCCCAGTGGAAGGCTAGACGCTCGGCTGGTCTGTGTCCAGCCGCCTACCTCCCTGTCCTAAGGCTGATCTTGGCAGCCCGGCTGCCAGCAGATCTCAGATCTGAGCTCTCCCGCCTCTGTCTCTGCAGTTACAGGAAACGAATCATGAAATAGACACCCCCAGCAGCCCCTCGCCTTCTGAGGTGCTCCCTTCCCTCCCCCACCCCCAACCCCGCCCCGCAGAGATATCGATGTGCCACCTTGGAGGGGCACAATGGTGCATGGTCTGGCACACACCGTGGCCTCGAGTTGCTCTCGGGTCCCCTTCACAGACGTCTTGACAACAGCTACTAATTAAGGTCCTAACGAGTGGTTGACAGATACTACTTTCCAGAAAAAAATTCACTTCCAACTATCAGTTTCAAGTGATCACAATTCTGCAGGTATCTTTCTCTGAGTGACTGAATGTGACTATTGCATCGGAGTAAATGAATTCAGAAGTGCAAGTGGAATTTGCTGTATGTTAGAAAGGGGTTTTGCAGCCAAGACTGCCTTGAATCAAATGTGTTTGCACTGAAAAAAAATTTAAATTACTTGGTCTCTGGTTGCTGTAAAGGCCATCCAAGATGGATGTTCTGTTTATATTGTATAGTATTTCATATGAAATAATTACAGTTCATGAAATGTCTTCCCTAATGTTACTGATTTATAACAGCACATTTGTAACCTGGTTTTTATCGTCGGTGTACCATATTGTAAATGATGATTACTTGTCATGCTTAGTATAATAACTTAAAAGAAAAAAAGCACAGGGATTTTTGTAAGTCTATATTTGAAAGTCCCTCCATATGGTAATATTGTGTTCATGTTGTTTATGTAGTGTTGTGTGAAATATCCATTTTGGATTGTGTTACTTTTTAAGATATTAAATAACATTTCGTTATATGTCTAAGTGAATTTCTTTTTGGTACTTGAGAGTAAAGGCTGTGAGATTGAGGTCTTAGAATGAATATGGCTATTTAGCCCTTTCTTTCTTTCTTTCTTTCTTTCTTTCTTTCTTTCTTTCTTTCTTTCTTCTTTCCTTCCTTCCTATCTTCCTTCCTTTCTTTCTTATCTTTTTGGGTCACACCCAGCGATGCTCAGGGGTTACTCTTGGCTCTGCACTCAGTAATTACTCCTGGTGGTGCTCAGGGGACTCCATGGGATGCTGGGGATTGAACCTGGTTCAGTCATGTGCAAGCCAAACAACCTCCCCGCTGTCCTATCACTTTGAGCCCTGAGCCCATTTTCATTGCACAATCTGTTATTATGAGTTTTTTCTTCAAACAGTGGAAAATAAACATTTCCACACCCAGAAAGTTAGGGATAAT